GAAAGGGAGTCGGTGAAGGGTTAAAGGGGTCGAATTACATTCTAGCAAAACTATCTGTACTAGTCCCAAAAATCATTTCAACTGAGGTCATTAACTGTGTTGTTAGGGGTTCAAACCAACATTCCAATTCATGTAGTATCCAGTGTCTACAATCCAAAATCCTAAGAAAAATCCAGAATGCTTCCTTCTACGTCTTCAACCTAACTAACCTCTAACCATGACCTGAAGAGACAATGGCCTATGTATATGATCCAGTGATGTACGTTCGTTTGCTATTTGAGAATGTGTCACCACCACAGTACTTTATTTCATTTACTTTTTGTATTATTCCCAACGATTAACTTATTACGAAGTAGACAATTATAAACAATTAAAGTGCAAAATATTTTTAGATATTCAACTTCTTAAATGACGGGGTAAAATAAATCAAGACTCCGCCTTGGGAAAAATATGATTTATTGAAGGACATAATTATAATATCTCATCGCATTTATTTATACTGTTGTATTCAATGCACGTAAAACTACAGTGGCGTTTGAGAATATCTTTGTTCCTCCTGGCTCTCGATTTTCTGTTCATATTTTTAGATTATGGCTTTTTTAAAAGTACAACTGGGATTTTGTACAAATGCTAAGAGGCAGCAGAATAGTATTTCACAACTCTGTTAAGGATGGTCAGACTGATTCTTTTATAAGCTTCTTATGGAGTCTCACATGCAGGAATGTCGGACTGCAGGTTGTGCAGAACAAGTTTCTGAATCTTGTAGCACACTTCCACCGAATCTCTGCCTATATTAGTGGCATATAAGGAACAGCGCAGCATGAAGATCAAGTTTGTGCGACCTTCCGTAGAAATGCCTGCCCAAATACAACCACCTTGCTTCCAGGAGTGAAAATGTTGCGGCGATACATCGCTCTCCTGTTCCTCTCCAAACCTCTCTCGGCCGTCTGAAAACTTCAAACAAAACCTTGACTCATCCGCAAATAAGATTTTAGTCCGATCTTGCTCAGACCAGTTGATGTGATTTCTTGCGAAACTTAACCGAGCTGGTCTGTGCCTTGCCAGAAGTTCTGGACCAGTGTCAGGCGTTCTCGCTCGTGATCCAACTTCTGAAAGTCTTCTCCTAACAGTCCGTAAACTTCTCCTAACATTAACATTTCTAACTTGTAGAAGTCGTCGTTACTTGATCTCAACAGGGATAGAATGTAGATTGCTGGGGAGTTCATTCCAAACAATAAAAATCATTACCTCAATTTCTCTCTCTCTCTTTCTCTTACTCACACTCTCTCTCCCTCTTTCTCTTACTCACACTCTCTTTCTCTCTCACTCCCTCACTCTCTTTCTCTCGCTCGCTCACTCACACTCTCTCTCTCCCTCTTTCTCTCACTTTCTTTCTCTCACTCACTCACTCACACTCTCTCTTTCTTACTATCTATCACTCACTCTCTCTCTCTCTCTCTCTCTCTCTCTCTCTCTCTCTCTCTCTCTCTCTCTCTCACACTCTCTTTCTCTCTCACTCCGTCACTCTCTTTCTCTCACTCACACTTTCTCTCTCCCTCTTTCTCTCACTCACACTTACTCTCGCTCACTCACTCACACTCTCTCTCTCCCTCTTTCTCTCACTTTCTTTCTCTCACTCACTCACTCACACTCTCTCTCCCTCTTTCTCTTGCTCACACTCTCTCTTTCTTTCTATCTATCACTCTCTCTCTCTCTCTCTCTCTCTCTCTCTCTCTCTCTCTCTCTCTCTCTCTCTNCACTCTCTCCCTCTTTCTCTTACTAACACTCTCTCTCTCTTTCTTTCTATCTATCACTCACACTCTCTCTCTCTCTCTCTCTCTCTCTCTCTCTCTCTCTCTCTCTCTCACACACACACACACACACACACACTCACTCACTCACTCACTCACTCACCACATGTTACATATGTTTCTAACTTCTTGTAGTTTTTTGTGTTTTTTTTTCAATTAGGAGTACCAGAGCCTAAACAGCTATAATTTATATCAACTCGCTGACTATGATAGACGGCAATCTAAATGAATCTCAATGAAACTGCGCTAGTGAAAGAGTTGAACTCATTTGCTAATCCGTTACTATTATCCAACGAGTTACAGCAAGTCACAATAATTAGGATATTATCTGACGGATAAGGTATAAGGTTCTGCTCTAATTAACATCTTCATACGGTCTCTCGTTTTTCTATCTGATCTTTTATCTTCAGTCGCCGTATTCTTTGGAAATAATTTTATTTCCCCGATTGATCTGTAATCTTTTTAAACTGTAATATTTGAACTCCATGCTCATGAATTTTATGCAATCTGGATTGTTAGAATGAACTGATAAGCGTGACCAAACACTTATACGCCATGAATATCGATCAGCCCAAAATTGTTTTTAAACTATTGTTGATGAAACATGACAGTCATTGGAAAATGGACCATCTCGTGTTCGCGTTGAGACTCAAGACTGAAGAGGCGAAAATAATTGCTTCTGATGCCATCTGTTGTCGATGCAGTAAGCTCAAAGATTTGGCCCTCTTCTGGGCTTTTTCAGAACTTACCATCATTACAATTTACAACTCTTTATTATTCATTATTTAAATTCACTAATTTCCTGGTCCGCTTGACCAATATTATATTTAATATGAATATAACCAATATATTACAATTAATTAAGGTTTTTAGTTGAGATAAAGGTCCGAGTGGATCGAGGTCACGATAGCCCAAATGGTAGAGCAACGGCATATCTAGCCGAAGATCGTGGGTTCGAATCCCGCTTGTGCCATTGACTTTTTTATCTCAACTAAAAACCTTAATTAATTGTAATTATTCATTCTATTCTGCTGTCCATCTGCTGTAAGCTTAATTGAAAAGCGATATTTAATAGACACACTACAATTATAAAATATTCTGAGTGAAATATTTTATACCCATTGGATATGAATTGTGATTACTGGGTTTTTATGTAAAACTTCAGATCAAAGTAAAATGACAAATGTTAAGATTTTAGAGGATGATGTTTGGCCTTGACAAAGAACAATGTTGTGCTTTGAAGTTTTATGCTCAGTAGGCACAGTAACTCGCAACAGTTATCATTCACGTGGCAAAACATCACGTTACATTCAAGAAAATAAAAATAAATTAAAGCTTGAATTTTCGATACCTTCCAAAACAATCCATTACATCTATTGTTAAACATAATCTTTCAATTAATTATTCTTTGTATGTAAGGTCTTGGTTGAAATGAAAAAGTCAGTATCTTGAGCAGGATTCAAACCCATAACTTTTGGCTCAATATGCCACTGCTCTAACCACTTGAGCTATCATGACTTCTTTCCAGACCTGACGTACAAAGAATAATTAATTGAAAGAAGTAATTTGGTCAAGCAGACCACTAAACATAATGGATTTAATAAGTAAAACAAAGTATTACTTCACTAACAGGCCACTTCATATGATGCTGAGAATCGAATCCTGAGTACATGGCATTTGAAAAATGGTAAAAAGGAGGGAAAATTTGAAAGGTTGTGTCACGATAGCTCAAGTAGTAAGAGTAACAGTGTATTCAGCCGAAGGTCGTAGGTTCAAATCCCACTCGTGGTACTAACTTTCATTTCAAGCAAGACCTTGCATACAAAGAGTACTTAATTCTTCTTAAGGAAGTAATTTGATCAATCAAAGAAATAAACATAATAAATTACAATTAATTAAGGTTTTTAGCTGAGATAAAAAAGTCAATGGCACGAGCGGGATTCGAACTCATGATCTTCGGCTTGATACGCCGCTGCTCTACCACTTGAGCTATCGTGACCTCGATCCACTCGGACACCAACTTCCCATCTCAACCGCACCTTTTGAATTTTCCCTCCTTTTTGCCATTTTTCAAATGTCGTGTAATCAGGTTGGATTCTCGACGACAAATGAAATGGCCACGGAGAGCTTTAGGGAAGTATACTTCATTTTTAATCATTAAATTCACTAATTTCGTGATCCGCTTGACCAATTAATATAAATTACAATTAATTAAGGTTTTTAGCTGAGATAAAAAAGTCAATGGCACGAGCGGGATTCGAACTCATGATCTTCGGCTTGATACGCCGCTGCTCTACCACTTGAGCTATCGTGACCTCGATCCACTCGGACACCAACTTCCACCGCACCTTTTGAATTTTCCCTCCTTTTTGCCATTTTTCAAATGTCGTGTAATCAGACTGGATTCTCGTTGAGATGGGAAGTTAGTGTCCGAGTGTCAAGCCGAAGATCGTGGGTTCGAATCCCGCTCGTGCCATTGACTTTTTTATCTCAACTAAAAACCTTAATTAATTGTAATATATTTATTGGTCAAGCGGACCACGAAATTAGTGAATTTAAACATAATAAAGTTAAACGTAATATTGTTTGATTGATTTATATAAGCTCAACTCCTTTCACATATTTACTGAATCGAGTTTATCACTTCTCGTGACTTATCTGCCCCGCTCTCAATCGGGTGTGGATGATCCCTTTTCTTGATTCCGAGGACCGCCTATTGGCCTTTACACATATTAAATAACTAATCTAATTGAGGGTCAGTGGGTACTCAATATAATACCATCGGCCCTCTCACATTACACATTCGCACTATTATGTATCTTCACTCTCAATATTCACAAAAGAAAACAAAAAGAGATAACTACCGGTATGCTGGACATACATGGCTTTGGCCCAAAAAGAAAGTATCCGAGCTGTTAACCATAATTGGGATAATCCCTCTTTTACAATTCAGATCCTCTGAGGGTCACCCATCAACCATACTCTTGATACATAAGAGCTTTTCTGCCCATCCGAGACCCACTGGCACTGCATTTCCTTTTGATCATATTTTTTATTGTTTTTGGTGGTATCTAAGGATCGGAACATTGTGATTTGAAAGAACAAAAATATGAGATTAAATGCACATATTTTACATTAACTGTGCTGTTATAAACAATACATTATTTATATTGAATTTTATGTTCGCAGAAAACCTGGCTCCTAACGAACTCAAGAAACTCAGAAACAAGCAGAGGAAGGCTCGACGGAAGGCTGAATTACAGCAAGCTGAAGCAACAGCAGCTGAAAAACGAGAACAGCACAGTAAATCCAGCAAATCAGAGCAAGAAACAGACTCAGTACCTCAGGATGAACTCATCCCCGAGAAGCTAGCCCGAGTAAGCGATCATATAAATTGTCAACACTAAAATTATTTCTATAAAACACACTTTTTATTTTAAATTTCAGGTCTCAGATCCACTTGATCAAGCAATAAAATTCTTAAAACCTCTACAGAACTTGGCTTCAGAAAATGTTTACACTCACCTCATCGCATACGAAATATACTCTCGACGAGGTAATTCATCATTCATGAATAAAACAATTATTGATGATGTGAAAATTGCAATCGGTACAATTCCGGTGCAACTTCAGCATCTCAAGTTTTGTTGTTGACATTACTGTTATCCCCCAACTTAGATAACTGAGAAGCAAGTAATTATTAACATATTTATGTTATAAGACACAAACCAAGCCCTCCAACAGTACTTTTTCATGACAGATATACAATTACATACACGTTTGCAAAAAATTTATAGATGTTTACAGTTAACACAACACCCAATTATATAAAAATATTTAAAATTTGGTCATTACTGATCATTTTAGTCTGCCTATTCTCACTGGATTCCGTCAGGGGCATTTTGGCATTATGCCATTGTCAGTGTTGGATCTGTGACACAGATTTTGGTTGTTCACTAATTAATATTTATGAAAGGTATTGGTTCAGATAAAAAAGTCAGTGTCACGAGCGGGATTCGAACCCAGGACCTTCGGCTGCTCTACCACTTGAGCTACCGTGACTTCAATCCGCTCGGACACCAACTTCCCATCTCAACCTCACCTCTTAAATTTTCCCTCCTTTTCGCCATTTTTCAAATGTTTTGTAATCTATTTGATTCTTGGCGACAAATGAAATGGCCACGGATAATGGTCATAAATATTAATTAATTGAAAAATGTTAATTGGTCAATCGGACCACGAACTGTAATGGGGTTGTTCACTAACTTTATTGTCTCTTTTTTATGTGTTATGTTTGATTTTTACATTAAAATTTTCTTTCAATTTTTTTTTGTTTTTGTCGTGTTTGGTGTAGATATTTTGTTAAATTCTTCTTCTTCGGTTGTTCACTATGTTTATTACCCCTTTTTATGTATTTTGTTTGATTTTTACATTGATTTTTTTTTTTTTAGGTTAAAGTTGTGTTTTACTTTGTTTAATTATTCTTCTTTCCCTTTTTTATGTGTTTTGTTTCATTTTTCTTTCTTTTTGTGCTTTGGGGAAATAAATTTTGCCATCCTCAGTGTTGGATCTGTGACACAGTGAAGATTGCAAAATGCCCAAACGCATCTGACAGGCCAATCCAGTGAAGACAGACTAAAGTGATCGGAAACGAACAAATTTTAGGAACAACACCCTGCAGGCAACATATATAAATATCACAAATTAGACATTTTATTTTTATTTTCAACTTCCTACAGTTTTCGTCATAAATTTACTCGTAGCTTTTGAACTATTCATTTTTGCACAAATCCATAAAAAGCATAAACATTGAAAATGGCGTTAAATTTCCTTTAAAAAGGCACTCTTTAAGCACAAAAAAGAAAAATTCAACATATATATTTTTTGCTTTGGTTGTTCACTATGTTTATTCTCTTTCTTTATGTGTTTTGTTTGATTGTTATGTTGAATATTTCTTTCTTTTTGTGTTGTTTTTTTTTTATCAAACTAAAGTTGTATTTTACAACATCTGTATTCTTATTCTTCTTTTGTCTGTGTTTATTGTAAATATTTTGTCCAATTCTTATTCTTTGGTTGTTCGCTATATTTATCGTCCCTTTGTAATGTGTTTTGTTTGGTTATTAGGTTGAATTTTTTGTTCTTAATGTAAATTGAAAGTTCTAGAATGGTGCCTTCTTAAAAAAACATTTAACACTTCTTTTCAGTTCAGTTTTTTTTTCACACAGAAATGAGTAGTTCACGAGCTACGAGTAGATTTTTGACAAAAACTAACAATAGAAAAAAAACACAAAATGTTGAATACCTGCAAAAGGGTTGATCTTTAATTAATTGATAATATGAACATTTTCATTCTGACGAACTTTATTATATGAGTAGTGAATCACCCTGTATACCATGATATTGCTAGAAATGCAGTTTGGTTTTTTTCTAAAGTAAAAGTTAATATTAAAGGAATTTACAATTTTTTGTTAGACATAACAGTAAATGTTCAAATATAAAATTAGTATTATAAATCATGGTTGTAATAATAGTACTTTCAGTACAACAATAGTAAAAATTGTTTATTGCTTTTGAAGGAAAACCTTTGCTGATGCTTCAAAGCGTAAAACGGGCTTACACGACTAGCAGCGCACATCCGTTAGTACATGATGTCATTATAAGGTTCTGTCTCGAAATGGAGAACTGGAAGAAAGAAGCTACTTTCCCATCTGCAATATTTACTGTAATAGATAAAGTAATGGAACCGATATTGAAGGGAAAAACCCCAAAAGAGCTGAATAAGGAATTTCTTGATGAAAACAGCGATAAACTTCTTTGTAGATTACAAGGTATTTAAGTGTTTAGTCTCTCTCTCTCTCTCTCTCTCTCTCTCTCTCTCTCTCTCTCTCTCTCTCNCCCTCTCCCTCCCTCCCTCTCTCTCTCTCTTTCTTTCTTTCTTTCTTTCTTTCTTTCTTTCCTGCCCTCCTCACTTCCTCATTCTCTCTCATATTCACGCTCTCTCTTAATTTTTTTCTCTCTCTCTTCATTCATTCGTTCACCCGTTCACTTTCTCTCATTCACTCGCTCACTTTCTCTCTCATCCATTCGCTCACTTAGTCACTCACTCATTTTCTCTTTCCAACTCATTCATTCACTTAATCTCACTCTCTCCCTCCCTCCCTCAAATAACATTTCATTTGTTTCCTTTAAAATTCTGACTTATTGGAGTTTTTTCCAATTCAGATGTTCAAGTTTGGATTAGGGAGGGAGCACTACTTAAGACACCCATTCGAATTATTTTGTAACCAATGAAATTTTGCTTTTAGGTGCTAGGGTTTTGTATATACTTGATAAAACTAAACAAGCAGAAGCCATAAGTATAGCTACTACATTAGATGATAGCATTGATTCAAAGGACATCCAGGTAGATCAGTGCAAAATTTTATGCTTATTGTCATGTCAGGCCAATTTTAACATTAACGTTTGCAGACTTGTATCGCTGTTCTACAATCTCTGATGCAAAATGATTTTGGACCGTGTAAGGAAGCTGTGGATTCCTATAGACATAAATGCCACAAACTTTTCCCTCTTGCTGCGACATTTATGCCTGCCGACCAGTCGGATCAAGCTCTGTCCAAACCTAAATTAGAAACACCCCATCAGCCAGTCGGTGACGAATTGAAAAAGCAACTTCTCGAACCACAGGATTCCAACTGTCTTTCGTGCGATTACATCACTGAGGATGGAAAGCACAGTGTTGTGGAGTGCGGAGATTGTACTAAAGGTATAGGTAATTTAAAAATAGAGGTGCAAGTAGTTAAGCAGATCTCCGGATCTGATTCTAGTAGCGAAAAGTGTTTTACAAAGTGACCTGAATGATAAAGCAGTATTTATTCAAAGAAGGGATGTATATTATCAACTATGAATTGTCAGTAACTGCAACAATCATTTTGAATTGGGCCACTTTTGTCAGGTTTATGTTAATTATATTACAAAAAAGAACTCTGCGTATAACTACATCATTTAACTATATAATGGCCGGAAATTAAATTTCTCTCTTTTGTGTTTCATTTACTGTAATTTATAATTTATACATAAATGGTGTATTCATTGCCTTGTGGCCATGCATTAGGTATTGCTAAAAGCATTGAATTATCCAATAATATGATTTATCTTAGGTTTATGTGTGTAATGAGTCATAGTTCAGCAAAAGTAAGATTTCTACATTGTTTTAAAAACTGTCTATTTCAATGGAATTGTATCAGTTTCAATTTTAAATTTACATTTTGATTGTAAGAAATTTGTTAATTATATATTAATTAATGTCTTGGAAAGTAACGAATTTAACGACATTATTAGTTGGCCCTTGTGTATTTTATAATCAATAAAAAAATGTTTAACTAATTTTATCTGTTGGATATAATTATGTTATTGTTTTGCTTGATCTGATTTTTTTGTTTGTTTTTTTTTAATAAAAAGGTAATATCGCCTCCGGGTTTAATATAATTCGGTCCAATCGGATCAATTAGTCAAAACATATTTTGTTCCACTCATTTATTATCGGCCTCGGATGTATTAAAACATTCTCCTTAATGGAAATATGAATTTAAATGCTTATGCAATGCTGTTTCAAGGTTGATAAGTGCAATTACTATAAATTAGTGGTGTAAAATGTCATCGGAGATTGAGATACGTGGTCCATTTAACTACCTGAAGTCAATGCAATAAAATTTTAAAAAATAATCATAGAATAAGTGACAAGATTATGAAATTCTGGTGTGTAGTTTTCTATTGGACAGTTTGTTTTGAAACAATTTAACTAAATGTAGTTAAAATTGTATCAAAAAAATTATATTTATAAAATTAATTGGTTTCCTAATGTGTCTAATTCACTAATGTATGTATTTAATATTTTTTATTTTCACTACTCTAAATCTATCTCCCCCAAACAAAAAAGTAGGGGCATTATTCATTAGAAACACTTAGTTTTTGACAAAAACTCATTATTTAGTGTTTAAATACTTCTCAGAATGTACTCAGATAAGTTAAACATTATTTGAGTTCGTTAAATTCTCAATATTCTTTGTCGATGTGTCTATGACATAGACATTTTAGAGGAATTCTGCATGTTGCAGCCATATTTCTATGATTTGACCATATTTCTGTGCTTAATGGCTTTGCAAACTCTTGTTACACAAAATATTGTCTTTCCAGTTCAGTTGTAATATTTTGATTTATTTGTCAAATTTTAATCGTTTTGTTTAATTATTTTCTGTGTTTGTTGTGTCATTCTAGGCAAAACCCCAACAAAGAGTGGTGTGGTTAGTTTTCTTTTTTCTTTTTTTTTTCTTTTTTTAGACTTAAAGAATATGTTGAATTGCTGCTGCAACAATTTTAGAATTTACAGAAGTACTTGAAAGCTGAACATATTTGTTATATATGATATTTTAAAATAAAATAATTTCTTTTTGTTTAATTTTTTTTAAATATATATTAAACCCAACTTTTGCTTAAAATGATTTTAAAACTTTTTAATGTTTAAATGTGAAATGAGTGCTCATGAAGTTTCTATGATGAAAAAGTTCATCGAAATTAGTCGGTTTTTAAATATTGGTTGGTCCGGAAAATAATGCAGGTATATGGTTTTAAAAGAAAAGCAATTAAATAAATAACATTTTTTATTAATTATAATACCGTATCCTCCATCTCTCTCAATACACTTTTCCCAAAGTGGAACTTCTCTGTACCCTTTGAATAGAATTTTGAGCATTTATTATTAACAAATTCTGTAAACGCATTTTCTAACAACTTTTGATCATTAAATTATTTATGATGTAAAACGTTTTCAGGTGTCTGAAAAAATGGTAATCATTAGACGAGAGGTCTGTAGAATATGGAGGGTCAGACAGAACCACATAACATAGGCACAACAGTTTGGGGGGGGGGGCAACAGTGGGGCCGAGCATTGTCATGTGACATAATCGGCCTTTTCCGATTGACCAAAGATGGCATTCAATTTGAGTGCACAACATTTCAGCATTGATTTTTGCACCAGGATTCAAGAAGCTTTAGTAAATCAATCCAAACAAAGAGTCGCCATCACCTTTTTTTGATGAATTAGTGACTTTGGAAAATGTGGTGCTGATTATCCTTTGTCAAGCCACTGTCCAGAACGTCTGCTGTTATCATAGAGAATCTAGAGAATCCACTTTTCATCACAAGTAACAATTCTATCCAGAAAACGTTCATTTCTGTTTCGGCAAAGAAGTGTTGCTCTAACTTCATGATTTTTTTTTTTTTTTTTTTTTTTTTGCACTCATTTAATACATGAAGAACTTTCGAGCTTTTCACCTTTCCAATTGCCTTAAAATGGTCAGCGATGGTTGATTTTCTAACTGAAAAGTTCTCAATCAGTTGTTCTGGGATTTTCTTCGACCAAAGCTCGCAGAACATCATCATCTTGGGGAGAAATCTTTCCACGACCTTTGTCTTCAAGGCTAAAGTCTCCCTCTTGAAATATTTTAAAACATCTCTGAATGATGCTCTCACTCACACTGCCATCACCCCAGACTTCTTAATGTTTCTGGGAATTTAGGCACAGTTCTCAACAAATTTAAACTCCTAAAATGAAATTACACAAAATTTTAGTAAACACTGTGACCCAAATAACGAAATGCTACTGTGGTAAACAAACATTTTTGTTTGGAAGAGGATTGACATTCATACAAAAGAATAATCCAACAAACAAACAGTTTATTGTGTAGAGGGTTAATTTAAAAAATTAAAATCTGCATTATTGGACTGGACAACCCAATATAATTATAAAATACTATCTACAGTAATTTTATAGAGGGCTGGTGTGGCTGAGTGGTTATTTGTTATGCTAACGGTTCTGGGTTTGAATTCTGGCACAATCCATGGGATTTTAATTAGAAATAATATGTTAAGTGTATTGTAAAGTTGTTTGACCCCTCATCTGCAACCTTTGGTAGTTGTACAATAAGCCCTTCGGTATGACATGGTTTACTGTACTTTTTTAAACTTTTTTATTTACAGAGACTCTCGTTATCCACACTTTTGTTATCCATGCTTTCACTCATCCACAATCCCCCCCCCCCAGTTGAGAGATTGTAAATGTGGTGAATCACAGAAAAACAACTGAATGTAATTGATTTTTTATTGACAAAAACTTGAAATATAGGTTCATAAGTTCATCAAAAGGCACACAGGATACAGAAGGTGTCTGATTGGGGTGCAGATGAAAGAAAATGCTTTGAAAACTAAAATTCAAGGATTTTCCTATTATTCACGTTATCGGTCGTAAAGGTACATATCCTCCACAGAAAAGAGAGTTTACTGTACATTATTAGCCAAGTGTCCCATAGGGGGAGTAAATAATTCTACATTTAGACTTAAGGTTTAATTTATCTCAAAAACCTTGCATTAGATGGTACTGTAATTGATAAGGAAACCCAGATTCTTGTACTATAGCGACAAGTAATTTTTTTTTTCTTTGGTATATTTGGGGCGTTGTGTTCACATGACTATTTCCAAGCAATAATCACAAGCCCTAACCCAAGCTATGAACACTTTCTTGTCAACCCCTTGGAGTACTTTATTTGCTGTAGGATTTCAAATAACAGATGGTTGTCTGAAGCACGTAAGTTCCAATTCTTAAACTTCACTAGGGAACTATCTGTAATTATCATGCTTTTACATCATTGTAGAATCCAAGTAACTGAAAATTGAAATGGCATACATCTCAGCTAGAAATATCTTGGGTCAGTTTAATGCTTCGAATAATTCGTCTAATCCTTAACCCCTCAGTCCTTTCCATTGTGGTACCATCCATGTAAATACAGTGTTAATTGGACAATTTATCATAAAAATATACAAGTTTTGAAAGTCTGGAAAAAGTAGTTATCAACTTCAACAAACAGCGCCTCATACTTAGTTTGATATATGGCTGGAACATCTGAGCATCTAATAGATTTTGAGTCTTTTCTAACTATGTACAAGTAAAGGGGGCTTAATATGCCACTCTGGGGAAGTACTAACAACGTATAATCTCACATTGTACTAAAATGCCATCTTTGTCATATGCTCCTACAAGATCGAAGAAAATTGCAATACTTGTCTAGAAAATTGTAATGCCTAGAAAATTACAATTGTGTGGTAAATCCTAATTGTGTGTCTAAAACCCGATTTGTTAAACTAAGCTTGTGATTTGCCCTTTCCAAATCCATACTGGATTTTAGTCAATTTTTTCTCAGAGTTTTTTTTTCAGATGTCGAGTTAAAATGCAGGTCTGCTGAATTCTAACCCGAGATCTTTACCGTATGTATGAGTGCGTCAACACTTAAACCATTGCAGCCATCGATGCCCTGTGACATTAATAGTTGCCTATTAAAACTTGTCTTTTTATCAGACCTTAAGAGCTTTTTCAAAGATATTTATTATATATTTTCATAATAAAGTGCTGTTGCATTTAATATTAATTTATTTCATACAATCAAATGATAACTGGGCTCAATAAGAAGGAAAGGAGTCATCCATCCCTAACCATACCCGAAGTTGAAAAATCACTTAAGCACAGTAGCTAGTTTCTTTCACTGTTTGTGTTAAACGACTTGTGAATGAATGTTTTTATTAACAATTAATTGGTCAAGTGGACCACGTGAAATAGTGAACCAGGGGACTGCGGTAGCCAAGTGGTTAGCGTGAGAGACTCTCGGCTCATAGCCGCCGCGGTCGTGGGTTCGATTCCCACCGTCGCCTCTGGCCCTTTTTTCACGATAACCCCCCCCCCCCATATGAACACACATATAAGATTCGTCACCATGGCTAATATGCATAGATCATAAGGCAAAAAAAAAAAATACTGAACTTAATGAATTAAAATGAAGTATACTTCACTAAAGCTCTCCGTGGCCATTTCATTTGTCACCGAGAATCCAATCCGATTACACGACATTTGAAAAATGGTAAAAAGGAGGGAAAATTCAAAAGGTGCGGTTGAGATGGGAAGTTAGTGTCTGAGTGCATCGAGGTCACGATAGCTCAAGTGGTAGAGCAACGGCGTATCAAGCCGAAGGTTGTGGGTTCGAATCCCGCTCGTGACACTGACTTTTTTATCTCAACTTAAAATCTTAATTAATTGTATGATATTAATTGGTCAAGTGGACCACATAAAATAGTGAACTTAGTTTTTATTAACATAGCTGTACCAAGAAGAAAGAAGCTAAAACTAAACACTAAAAGTTGAATCTCTATAATCTTCAAAGAAACTAAGTACCAAGGTATTAAACCTTTGACCAAAGGCCCAAATGGAGAAGTCATAAAGACCACATACTACATACGACGGCCATTAAGCATTGGCCAGAGATTAAGCAGCAAAACTGTAATAAACCCCATGGAGTGGCATATTGGTTATACACAACAGTCAGACTCCTGATCACATATGGAGTAACTAGTATGGCCAAAAACAACATAAGAAGGAACAAAACCAGTTGCTTATCGTACAAAAACTAGCATGTCTTTAACGTATGAGGCAATACTTGTAAGTTGTCATATGACATCAATGGAAACTGCTCTTATACAAAATGTGGCTTTCAAAAGTGCCAACTCCTGAGATGCAAAGAAATAAAACCTGATCTAAAAAGAAGCCATCACAAAATTCTGGGGAAACTCAACTTTGACAGGCTCTAATTGGTCATAGATAATAGAGATCTTTGGAAGAAAGGCTGGAATTTTCAGTAATGGTAATATGGTATCTGATGGACCATGGATGGAAGATTAGCAGCATTACACACAGGCAAAAACCCTTTGGGCTGGTTCCAATTATATTCCAAGTACGTAATCCAACACTGTGCACAGGTAGTTGATAAAGAAAAAGATGAAATGGTGGATATATCTACATACTTTTGGAGAGATAGGCAGCTATAAAGGAAATAAATGCGTATGCTTTTAACTCCAAAATAGTCTGGGAAGGCCAAAATCGCCTAAAGTGCCTTGTGGTGGGTTCCAGGGCATGAAGGATATTGAAAGAAATGAACAAGCTGGCCAACTAGCCAAAGGGACTAGAAGCACAAATAGGTGCACCAGATAGTGTGCTAAAGTCGAAGCTGGAAAAATGGTTTAAAAAAAATTCAATCACTTGTCAGAAGCAACGGGTATGAGATAAATCTCTCAGAAATGAAGGTAAAGGAACTCCGCTCTGTCAGCAGACTAAGGAAAGGAGGAAGAAACAGCCGTTTATATCACCTTCAAATATGAAGTTGAGACATAACCTAGACAACCCTGAAATTACTTCTTAAAAGAAGGTTCGAGTTAATTGAACTGAACAAAGGAACTAGGAAAAGGACAATAGCTGAATGGCTGTAGTGCTTGGGAAATACAAAAATCCTGTTTCCTAGTATCTTTTCATCATCATTTGTAAGTTATAACTAGAGGAAGAAACTGCCACCCATATCATTTTTGAATGCGAAGCACCTACTCAATAGTGATATAACCTAGGATACCGAAAAAGCCCTGGAAAAAGAGTTGCAGCAACAGTCAATGACCTATTTACTTTACTTTCTTACTGTTACTTCTTAAAAGATGTACCGAGTTAATTGAACTGATCTAAGAAACTAGAAAAATTACACTAGATCAAGGAGAGTTTGGGAACATTTAACCCCCCTCTATTGCCTAGTATTCATAATAATCAGCATCATCATCTTAATATATATCATATACATCAGACTGAAATAATTATCATTTTTGTCAAAAACTAAATTAGATTTATCCTTTTCAAAGGTAATAAATAATTAACTTGTATATTTTATTGTAATTTATTATGACTTTTATTGTATTTTTGCATTTTATTGTTCGCATGTGTTGCACATACTTGTTCTTTATTCTAGTTAATGCTTTTTAATGGATTTTTTTTTGTGTAGGTAGAGTAATGCTTAGAAATAGAATTAAGAAAGATAAATAGTCGAAAACATTATATAACACATACAGTTTTACTCATTTAAAAAAAAAGTTTTCTTAGTAATAAGTTAAAAAATTATCTTGTAAGATTCAATTTTAGAATGTTTACTCATGCTAAATGTGATAAAGAAATGGTTTGAATTTGCCTTTTTATGACGGCGCACCTTATTGTTAGTATGATATTAGCCAATTGCAAGTATTAAGTGTACTGCAATGGGATTAAATCTCTTGTTTACAGGAGTTTGTTGACCGTTATTTGTTGACGGATCCTATCGACCAATCCAAGCTTTTCATTGTAGTTTTTCGTCAAAGTTGCTACAAATCGACGAGTAGATTCTTTCTCGTTCTAATAGAATGTTTTCAGGGTAACTTTTTTTTCCACAATTACGACAATTTTTAAAAGTTTAAAGTTTTAACAAAGTGAATCATGGAGTTCGAACTCGACACATTGTACGAATCGTCTTGTCACGAGGAAATGGTGATGAATTACCATGGGAAAAGAAGAACTTCATGGACGATTGAGGTGAGTAAGTATTTAATAAATTGTGATTCATATTGATTTTGTTCAATATCAATTATAAATCCGGGTGTTTTAAGTTAAGAGTTCATTTCTACTATACATTTGAATGTTTTAACTTTCTTAATACTTAAGCATCTTCATTTGATAGATAAATAATGCAAAAATGTCGAGAAACCACTGTCATTTTTAGTGGAACTCTAATTGATGAAGTAGTATTATTTATTTTTCATTTTACAAGACTACAAAATTAAGCCAAATCAAAACTGAATGTAAAAAAAAGTTTTATTTACCACAGCCTGTAGGAACACACAGATCTAACAATCATAGACAGATTTATCATGTTACTACTAAAGCATATTTGATGATTTGAATGTACATTTTTTTAATTGTACTGTAACAATAAATGGGTTATTTTTTCATTATTAAATTTAAAAAAATTTAAAAAGTATAATGAACTCTCTCATTCTGCTCTTGTTGAAAACATCGCTCGGCAAAATCAAGATCCTCAGATAGGCGGGGTGGATATCAGCAGAGAAGCTCTCATATAAAGAAGTTGGTAGGTGGCCCTCAGAGGGCTGAATTGAAGAACGAGATCTCTCCTGACTAAAAATATGCTACTAGGTTGCCACTCAGACAATTATAGTAAGGTTACTTGATATGTCTCTACTTAGTTGAATGGTGTCATCCTTGGCTCCATATAGAGGGCTGCAGCCAATATGATAGTTGTGCCTGAGCATGGCAGCAAGGTCAGGAAGATAAAACAGATCTTTATTCTAAATAAGTTGTTAGTATCGACCACTTTTTACTCACGAATAATCTAGATGTCAGTATGGTCAAGTGGATAAAAAAAATTTGGCAGATAATTGAATTTATTAATTATTCAGAAATCGTGAGATGCGGTCTGGTGTGATATAGGTTTCAGAAAAACATTTTCTTTATCGAGCCAACATTTCGATCTTTATTGAGATCATCTTCAGGGCTCAAAGTGTTTGTCTTCTGTGTAATTGTGCCATTCTTGCGTGTCGTGTTGTTTTTCTGAAACCTACATCACACCAGACCGCATCTCACGATTTCTGAATAATTATCGATTAACGGTCACTAATCTCCACACATTGAATTTATTTTTTCATCCAGACCAAACCGAGATCCATCTTGTTCGTTATTCTATATAGTATCGATAGATACCTCATTTTGTGTTTTTTTTTTTTTTTTTGTATATATTGAGTTTGTGAGTGTATTTATTAATGTGATGGTACCCCAATGAACTCTCAGTTTTAATAGTTATGTAATGGGTGATGGAAGAATATCAGAATACACTGTGTGAATGGTATGTAAAAAGGAAAGAATTTAAAAATGACTGAGAATGTACTTCAGTTTAAAAACTGCATGTATTGTGGACTGCTGTTGACATCTCCTGGAGCGAAACCTCGAGAACGAGATAAGACCGAATAACCCATATGACCAAAACACCACAACGAGTGATTCTCACAAGTGCAATTATGTATGTGTATGTATGTACATGTATGGGGGACTTAATGCTTAACATAAAATTTAATAGATATAACTGGTAGGCAGCTAAATATATTTAGAGTCTAAATATATTGGCTTATTTTTAAAGGAGCCACGTTTGAAAGTTAGATTCATGTTCTTTTTAGACATCATTCAATTAAAACAAGTTTGAAACTAATTTTTATGCAATTTTTGTATGTATGGAGTGCACCCTTCAAAATCATGTATAAAAGTAATCTACACCAATAGTACCTAGCAATGGTTAATGTTTTTCATATTACAATTAATTAAGGTTTTTAGTTGAGATAAAAAAGTCAATGGCACGAGTGGGATTCGAACCCGAGTTTTTCATATTCCAGAAGTCTACTATAGAAGTGGAACACATTAATGCTAAAATAATTGAGAAAATATGAGTATATCGAGAAAAAAAAATATAGTTGAAAAATTCATATTATAAAGTTTAAGGTGCGTTTAATAATCAGACTCAAATTAAAAGTTGTATTTACATAAAAATATGTGTATACAAATATAAAAATTCTTTATGTATAAAAGTCATGTGTGTTGAGGAGAATTGAAAATATTTTAAATAAATAAAATTAGTTAAATTTTTTCTCAGTCTAGATAAATCTGTTTAAGAAATTTTTAAAAAAAATAATTAATGATTTTTTAAGCAGTCATCCATTAATTAATTTCATCTATAGAAACAACCACATTTGCCATTCTTTCAAATAGACATCTCTGATATTCAAATTCTGCGCCAAGCAGTGTGAAAAGGCTGATATAATCAATTTGTCCTGGAGAAATTAACTGCCAAGGGCTACCTATCATCATATCAGCCAAAATTAAACCTTGCAGTGGAATAGGGATAGTATGGAGAATGTTTGACTGAATCGCTTGAGGCAGTGCAAGAAACCCCCATTGCATTGGAAATGGGATTTGCACATTTGTCAAATATCCTTGCTGTAGAAGAAATTGTGGCATGCGTTCAGGCAGGAAAGTTAAGTCCCTCAAAAATACTTGGCCTACAGATCTTGTAGAATTCAATGACCTGTTAGGAGGCACTGAAATTTCATTCCTTAAATGAACAATGTTCTGGTTTGGTACACCTCTTCCAAACCTTTGTTGTCCAGGAGCAAGGTTTGATGGTGCTCTTCGATTTATTGATCCTGAATTAGCCAAAGCCTGTTGACCTGATGAGTTTTGCCTGAAAATCCTTCTCGGTGTCTTACCCATATGCCTTTTCTTTCTTAAGTTTCTCCTGTTGTTATTCATTCTAAAATCAAAACAGAAAAAAAATAAAAATTATTATATTGCTATGACAAATACGTTAAAGCAGTAATGTTTCTGCATTCACCTAGGCTTCATTAACGAACTATGTGATAAAAATACTTTAACCATACTCAAATCTAGCTGATATTTTTTGTAATAATAAAGACTATCAGTGATTTAGTATTTTTGTCTGGTCTGCAAGGTCTCCAATCATCTTATTCTGCCTATCATCATTTCGTATGTGATCTGTGTGTTATTCTGTCTGTCTTTTCCTTTTTATACATTCGTCACACTAGTGAAAAAGTACTTAGTGGCTTGACAACTCTTAATCATATAGGCCTGTGCCTTCTGGCACACAGTAAATTAAAAATTTAAAAAACTGTGGTCTTGGGGAGCTTATTATGTCACAATTTTGTATGTGTGGTCACAAATAATAAATTTAAACAGCTTAGGAAGACCGATTTCTAGTTTTGTCTTGTTTCTATGTTAAAGAATTTTCTAAAATTACTACTTCAATAATTAACATTAATTTTTTGCAACATTCCATCAAAACTTCCAATCATGGATATAATTATAGTCCAACATACTCGATGGTTAATTGCAATTTAGAGAGCCATTGCTCTATTCCCATAGCAATTTAAGTGTGAATGGGCTTTAGTTTAGAGATTGCATTGGGGACTGACATGACCTAGGTGTTGATAGCCCCTGGAGACCAAACTCGGTGGCTGAATAGGATGACCTCGGGCTGAAGACCGAAAGACAGGGTAGGTCAGTCTTGAGGCCTGTCGGCAATTTGTTTTGATTTACACAAAAGCTGGAATTGACGTCGACCTGCAAGAAGTGATAGGCTTTTGGCACTTTCAAAAGATCAATCTTTTGTTGAAAAAGTGTAAGGGAGGGAGATCAAGTGGGGTTAAATACATTCTTTCCTATTTACATACCATTGACTCAGGGCGGTGAAGTACTTGATATTCCTCCATCATCCTTTACACCTGTAGCTATCCTATAACTAACCTAAATGAGGGTTGATAGGGTACTTAATATTCCGGTGCTTGAACTCTCACGCTATACATTCACGCTAATAAATACATGCACTGTAAAAACACGTTAGGTGCACAAACTATCAGTACCTACATACGATAAAACAATTTTTCTCCCAAGAATCGGAACAAAGGACCCATATTCGCTGTCGTGCTCAAGCATAATTCTCATATCTGTTTGCATTCCTAAACGCTCTCTATATAGAGCCAAGGAGTTGCACCCATCAATGAGGTGGGACACATCGAACAGCCTTTCTCTAAATGCCGGACACATACGTTTGGCCCAAAAGTAAGCGTCAATGTGTTAACCTCGCATGGCCTATTCTTAATCGAGTGAGGACCTTTCTTCTAGGAGAGGAGGATCCTCAGAAGGTCCCCCTATCGAAAGAGTTTTTGATATGTGAGGAACCACCGACGGGCCCACTTTCTTTTAATCGTGTTTTTTGCATTTTTAGCGTCAGAGGGCCGGATCACATTGGCTATGTCGGGATGATGACACGTTAAAATAATTAATATTTTCTTTTTAATCAAAAAAGCGTTATGCGCGGCCGTGTTAAACGAGGTACATGCATGTGCAGATTTGACCTTATATAAATCAGTAATCAGTTTTAAATCCATATTGTTGAGATGTTGTCTATTTGCCACTGCGTTTTTACCCGTAAGTAATAAATAAATTTAGATTAAACGTTGCCTTCAATGCCAGTTGTTAGTTAGGGGGTGTGAATTTTTTTAAACCTGTAAGTGCGTATGTAGAGAGAATTGTTCTGTATGGTTTTTTAAGTAAATCGGGAAAAAATTATAAAATCAAAGGGAAAACTTTATAATAAGTTTTTTTAAACATTTCGAGAGGGAAAATTGGTAGTTGTCGGGGGAATTTCAGAGTCGGACGTTCTCTTGGTCGAGGGGGGAAAGTCGGCCAACACTGTCATCTTCCGAGCTGGTATGTCCTTGTGTCGGAATTAAAATCGAGTGGGTATGTTGTAAGTGTTCCAGTTCTGTTGATATGGAGCTTTTTTACACGAAGGCCGCACTTGGTTTTCACAAAAGAGGAACTTAAAACAGGCCAAACATCGCGCTTTTATTCCCTTTTTTTTGTCGGTCGATTCCGAGGAACGGAGAAGCTTTTATGGCTTGCGGGTTTAGCATAATAACAGAATATTCTATCCAAGATGGTGGTTACATGACAGCCCTCGAAGAGTCTTTATGCGTATTTCAATTATGAAATTAATGCTTTTCACAACTGAAACGGAGCGAGAGTGGTGAGTAAAATGATGGTTTCATTCTTAGACTTAATTTAAATATAACGCCGAAAGAGGATCACGACCCCAGGGCCAAGATCCGAGGGTAAATATGCCAGGGAGAGTAACCTACTTTTTTGTTTTTCTTGTATAAATAAACACATTCTTTATATTTCTCAATTGTTAAAAAGATCTCTCCCTATATAGTCTTGTTTATAAGCAATAAAATTTGCATATTTTTAGTTTTTTATTTATTGAAAAAGTCATATATGGTTGCTTATTTTACGGTCGGGTTTGTTGTACTCCTTTCCAATTGTGAAACGATCATTAAAACAAAATAAACTAGGATGGTTTCGTTCTTTAAATTTAATAATCGACTGTTGTCATTTGAACGCTTAAACAACGCTACGTTCATCGTAAATGCGACTTGATCGTCAAAAGCTTTTTCAGAACATTTCAAAATCTGCCATTCTGTGAAATGGCCCGAGCTTTCCCACCTCAGTTTTGGACGTGTTTCCCGATTTTTGAATCTCGGGGGCGCAACGTTACGTAAGGGTGTTCAACCCCCGTTCCTCCTCCCCGCCCTTTTGTGGATGGGAAATCGGTTTTCCCCGTCCCACCAGGGCCAGGTAGTGAAAAGGACCTGTCCGAAAACTCGACGAGGGGACAGTACGAACTCGAACGCGGGACCGTTTGGACAGGTCGCTCATTTCCAAAGCCAAGGTAAAGTCCATAACACATAAATTACTAAATTACAAAAACAAAAAAAGTCTCAAGACATTCCATTCGCACAAGTTCTCTGCCAAGAGTTTCGAAGATATTGTGTTTCAGAGATGCCCGTTTAAGGCTATCCCATTGTAAAAAGAAATGCTTTTTTGTATTGCGCGTAATTCAATAGGTGTAATATTACATTGAAAAAACATCCCCTTGCTCGAATGCTGTCCCTGAACTTAAACCAGAATTGAATGTGAATGAACCATTTTAGAACAGTTCTAATTTCATTCAGTTTTGAACACTTCTTTGATAGATACATTTTTTTATTCTTTCAAGTCCCTTTGGTAGATTTTTGTCGGAAAGTCATTCAAAAGGACCGACATTACAAGGCTGCGTTTTTTTTTTAAACAACAAAGTTTCTCTTGGAACTGTATTATAGTCCCTGTGGTCAATCCCGGTAGAAACACCCCTACCTGCTTGACTCTCGTCCTTCCAAAATAGTCATTTTCGTCAAACCTGTTCAAAACTATTTCAAGTTCATCAATGGGAAAATTCCAGCTTTTTCCAGTTTCCAATTGAAAACAGTTTTTTCCTTCTTCACGTCAATAATTGTTTTATTTTCATTTACTGCATTTTTTACGCGTTTATTCTGTTCGTTTACATGAATTTTGGTGCCTGTGCGGTCCTGGTGCTTGACTTTTGCCCATCCAAAATAGTTATTTTCGTCAAACAAGTTCAAAACGATATGAACATGGGATTTTCCTTTTTTTTTTTTTTCATATTGAAAACCGTCTTTTTCTCTTTACCAGAAGAGTCTAGGTTGAAAAACCGAATGGATTTTAGCTTAGAAATTGAGATTTTATTTTCAGTGCTGGCGAGACTCCTCTTATCATGTGTATTATTGAGCTTTACTCTGTTCCTGACTCTCTGGACCTGGAGATTTTTCGCTTTTTCACTTAAAGGGTTGGGTTTGAAGCCTGTTCCTTCTCACGTCAACCATCCTTATCTTTGGGAATTTCCAGTATTCATATTTAGCGTAGAAGTTATGATTTTATTGTCTATATTTGGGCGAAGAAATTTTTTCCCCTCTTTTATTGTTTATATTGCGCTTTTCGGCCTTTCGGACGTGGAGATTTTTCTCTTCTTTACTTTTCAAGGATTGGGCATATAACCTGTTCCATCTTCACGTCAACAATCGTATTGTTTTCATTTTGTGCAAATGATCTCTTGGAACTGTATTTTGGTGCATGTGGTGAATCAGTCCTCGTGCTCGACTCTTGTTCTCCCAAAATAGTATTTTCGTTAAACAATTTCAAAACTATATCAAGTTAATCAATGGGATTTTCCAGTTTCTTCATATCGAAAACCGTCTTTTTCTCTTTACCAGAGTCTAGGATGAAAAACTTGGATGGATTGTAGCTTAGAAATTGGGATTTTAATTTCACTATGTAGCGAGCCTTTCTTCCTCTTGTGTATTATCGAGCTTTACTATGATTTCTGTTCCTCTGGACCTGGAGATTTTTCGCTTGTTGACTTCAAGGATTGGGTTTAAAGCCTGTTACTTCTCCACGTCAAAATCCTTATCTTTGGGAATTTCCAGTATTCTTATTTAGCTTAGAAGTTATGATTTTATTGTCTATATTTGGGCGAAGAAATTTTTTGCCTCTTTTCTTGTTTATATTGCGCTTTTCGGCCTTTCGGACATAGAGATTTTTCTCTTCTTCTTCACTTCAGAGATTGGGCTTGCAGGAATTCTTCATGTTAAAATCGTTCCTTTCGTTTATTTTGTATTAGCCAAGTTTTCTCTTGGAACTGTATTTTGGTGCCTGTGGTCAATTAGCCCTTGTCCTCCCAAAATAGTCACTTTCGACAAAGCTGCTCAAATGATTTCAAATTAATCCATGGGTATTTCCAGTTTTCTTATATTTTTTTTCCTATTTTCTTGTTTATATTGAAACTTTTGGACGTCGAGATTTTTCTCTTCTACTAGTAATTTTCACTTCTAGGATTGTGCTTTTTGACTTTTGCCCCCAAAATACTATATAGTCTTCAAAGTCTGTCGGAAGTTCTTAATGATTTCAAGTTAATTAATGGAAATTTTGTCGACGTTGAGATTTTCTTCAATTGTCAATTGAAAGTTGAGCTTTACGATTCTTCCGGGATATTTGGACGTGGATATTTTTCACTTCTTATTCTTCATTTCAGAGGCTTGCAACCTGTTCCATCTTTACGTCAAACGTTGTCGTTGTCGGTCCATATAACTTGGCGAACATTCGCTCGATGTGATAAAGCCATCTTTGCTTTAATTTTTTTGATTCGCTCTATTAAGAAGTATATTCCAAAATCAATCAATGTGCAACCGTCCACCCTCAGAATTTATTTTCCCCCAATATTTAGTTTCCACTGGAATTGCACTCACTTTGTAAAATTTAAGCTCGGATCTCTATTCTTACTTTTTTTCAGAATGATAACACACATTCTTCTGAATCGTCCCGATTTTTTGACTACGTCATTGTCCAACTTGTAGACCAGATCAAGGAAAGCGCGATTTTATCACTTGTGTTTGATCGCACTGTGTACTTACCCTCGAAGGGCATTAATTTTGTTTCGATGGAGACTTTTTAATCATATCCCATGCATATATGGTTGAGAGGGGAAAGAGAACGCCCTTTTGGATCTATGAGTATATAGGATAGGGATAAATGCGGTGGCCACAAGGCCTTCCGCACCTCGAACTGAGTAGATCCATTGTGCTCCTCTGTTTGGCTGGCCAATGGACTGGGAATTGTTAGTCAACATCCATAGCTTTGCCGGCGGTGCCGTAGTGTAGGATCTTAAAGCTTTTCCTTTCCCAGTTCTAAGAATATACACCTCTACATAGATCCTTACAAAAACATAAAAGTGTTCTGCAGTCTTCTTTCTTATTGGCAGTATCTGCACAGTGTTTCCTCTGTCTATACTCCTATCCGGTTCATGTGCCGTCTTGAGCGGCAGTGTCCTGTCAGGAGTCCAACTAGAAATCTATTCTGTTGCGGTTATGTTTCAATAATTCCTTTGTAAGTCTTGCGGATCTTCTCTGAATCTCTTCGCGTGCCGCCTCATGCTTGGGGTGTTGTTCCACCAAGTTTTACACTCATTAAGGATCCATTTTTGTATGTATGCTTTTTTTGCGGCCAGGTGCTCTACGCCATAGTAGGGTTCGGGCCCTAGAGAATTCATATTGGCTCCTATTTTTGAACATGACCACTTTCTCATTGCCTCTAGTCTCGAATGCCCAGGGATTCTGGTGTCAGAGTCCTGCCAGAGATTCTGGAGGCACGACTTCTGCCAGGGATTCATACAATTTCATACGCTTTTTTTTTAAATTATTTAATTTAAATATTAATAATAAATAGTTAAAAATTTTGAAACCTTAGGTTTAAGTAGAACTAAGTTTGCAGACAATTGACTTACCCCTGATGGGCTTTCGATATGAAATATAATGAGGAAGTGTGATAAGTAGTTTTCTAGTTTGTTGTTTCGGGAGGTTTTTTTTTTTTTTTAACGTAAGTCAACTATTAGAGAAATACCCGTTCCATATGGAAATTTTCTTGAGAGAAAAACCACTCTTGCCCAGTAATGAATCCTGATAAACATAATCTATTCTTCATATGGAGTTTTAAGTTTAAATAAGATCTTCGACGCTATTGACTTAATCACGGCTGAGACAGACAAGTCCTGACATTTCCATAGATGGGTTCTTAGTGGTTTTTGAGTCAGTCAAGGTGTATGTTCCAATCTATTTTTAATTGGTGTATGTTACAGGTCTATAAACATATTGAACTCTCCCTATCTAGTTTATTAAGATTCTCTCGCTTTGAAAAACATACACTACATTCGTTTGTTTTTTCATGACGAACATGAACTTGGGAACATTTCTTTCCCTGACAGGTGGATAATTTTAAATATTTGTGATTTTTTAGTTTTTATGAAATGATGTTTGTTGGGTTGTTTTTGGACGGCATATTTCTCTAGTAATATATAAAGAAGATTGGGGAAGTCTTGGACTATAATATAAAACAGCATTATCTTATCAAGAGACTGGCATGTTGTTTGCGCCTTTGCCATTTTCTCTGTATAAAATTCAAATTATTTCGACCGGATTTTCCAATTGGAATTGAAGAGATTTTGTCCCTATCTTATCAATCCGTACATTTCATCGCAAATTCGACTCGAATGACCTATAGTCCAAATTCTTCTACAGCAAAGTGATATTTGTAGGTCCGTTTCGTACAAAACAACCAGTAAATCTGAAGCACGTTCGGTTT